CCCCCCCCCCCCCCCCCGCGCGGGAAGTCGCGATGTAGTTTGATCGCGGATGTCGATGAGGAGAGGACGGCGAGTCGCGACCGCCATCGGACACGACGTGAACATCCGCGTGCGGAAAGGAATACGCTATCGCTTCAAACATGGCCGTGCGTGGAGAGGACTTATTCGGCGTCGGGATGAAGGAGTTGGCTCGCGCGAAGGGCACGGACGCGACCGCGAAATCAGGGTTAATCACGGACGTGGGCGCGCGGCCGCGTATCGGGCTGATGTTTGATAATTTGTGAACTTACATTGGATATTTTCGTGGGCACTTTCCCAATGATTGGTCGACGAATTGAGGACCAATGGTCGGCGATAGTACGATCCGCGGCTCTTGTGTATTGGTGGCAACCCAACGAACTGCTACTCGAATAGCAGACCGACGCCGAGACCGGTCGATGCCCCTCTGCGTCTCTACGCGATCGGCCAATCGAGCGGCGCGTCTCAACCCCCTCCCTCGGAAGCGCGCAGTTCGAAATTCGCGCGTCCGTTAATTTCGCTTCCAAGAATTGTATTGTATTGTGAAAGAGATAGAGTCGTAATGCGTAGGTTATCCCTTGTAAAATAAATCATCGTAAGGACAAAACAATTTATATAACCTTGGTTAGTGCTAGAAATTTTCGAAAGTTGAAAAATATACAAAGAAAGACCTTCATCTGAGAACCATTATTCATGCTTTAAGGATCTAAAAAGAAAGAATCAAATAAAGTTCACTACATAATTTATGAAGATGAATAAATCTCGTACACTTATAATACAAGCTAGTCATATTCTTATATAGGATTTGATTAAATTTATTGAACAATGACAAAATAGTTTTTTTTTTTTTTTTGTTTGTATATGCCTATGTATATATATATCGATAAAGAATATTACAGTAACAAATTTTTTTTACAATAAAAATGTGCGAAAAATTCATGCACATCTTATCTTTAAACTTGAAGAGTAAAAGAGAAAAGCACATATCTATTCCATAATTGTGAAGCCATTATGCAGCATTCAAACAATAGTAGTATATATATAGATAACATCTTTTATAATACATCTTACCTATTAAAATCAATCCATTATTTTAGCGTAAGCTAGAATTAATTCGAGCTTAGGTCGATTTATTTCAGAAAAATGTATGTTCTTTTGATGCCATATAATGATGTCAAAATTCCAATCGAATGGGATGAGATTATAAATTAACTGGCGAAACACTTAACGATCACGATAGAAATGGGACAACCAAATCTTCCTTGTGTTCGACTTTTACGTCGCTTAACGCTGTCACAGCCTTGATGAGCATCTCAGTAATCTGTATGTTCAATTCATTGCGTTAAATATGATGCTATTGTAACAGCAAATGCAATAAAAGAAAATAGTTGAAAATCCTCACCAATTCTTGATCTTCAGCAGCGAGTGGATCAGCTGCTAATATTCGTTCTGGAGCAGGTATATCCTTAAGTAGGCAAGATGCAGTTTCAGGAAGTTTAATTCTACCTGATTCTATTCTCCTTGAATATGCACGAGATCTATCCATGTATTCGTGCTGTTCTAGATTATGTGTGTCTAATGCACCCACATCTATGACATTGCTGTAAGAAAAAAAAAGTATAGATCAATAAGATTACTACATTGCAACTTTTTAAATAAAATTTATATTTGATTCTATAAAATACACGGCTCAATATTAACAACATTAACATCAAAAAAAAGGAAAAAAACAGAATATGTAGGAAAAATTGATCAACAAAACAAAAAACAAAACACGATATAAATTAAAAAGTCAGATGTAATAAAATAAAATCCACTCACGCTGCAGTTTCGTGTAAAATTCTATTTAATGCACTCTGTTCATCAGTCTTCTTAGGCACGGAGCTTGCATATTGATTAACATAATCATCACTGGAAGCAAAAAAAATAAGCATGATTCAATCTTACGTAAGAGTTCAAGGTCTCTAAAAACAAAACATCTACGCTGAGATAAATGTAAATAGAAATAAACTCACCTATGTACTCTTGGTATGTTTGTATTATTACTGACAGGATCTACTAGCAAATGCGTTCTTTCGTTCGCTTCTCCACCCTGCAAATAAATGACATTGTGACAAATACTCAAAGGATGTCAAAGAAACTATTTATTTTTCTTTCTCATACTGTTATCGCATCTTTCTGCTTATCTTTATTATCATTATAACAAAATGTTTATATATACGTAATATACATTATGCGTAATTACTCGTCGCCAAGTAGGCGTGTTATTCGCGATAATTTGTGCGAATCACCACGCATATAACGTCAGTGATAAGACAACGAAAGTGAAGTATCGAAATAAGCGTGACATTTTCGACCGCGGCGGTTTTACCTGCGGACCATTGTCCTCTTTACAGAAACTGTAGCAGCACCCCATATTTGAACAGAATGTCTAACTTGATCTTCACCGATCAGCAAAGTACCGTGGAACTGTTATTGCAAACAATCGTTCATTTTTCTTCCGGTAAACAATCGAGTGAATCAGCTGTCGGAGAATCGCCGCGACCGCGCACAGGACTTTATACATGCACACAATTGTAGCTCCATATATGTATATGTAGTGTCATATATGTATAAACCATAGACATAGTATATCTAGACCGAGTGTTGAGGAGCGGGGGCCGATGCCCACGTAGAAAAGGACATACTCTGTTTCGTGCCCCTTGCGTTCTCTCTCCCTCGCACGTAGCATGACGAAAGAGAGCGCTATGCTCTGTGCGAGCGAGAGAGAACGCAAGGGGCACGACCCCCGCGCGGGAAGTCGCGATGTAGTTTGATCGCGGATGTCGATGAGGAGAGGACGGCGAGTCGCGACCGCCATCGGACACGACGTGAACATCCGCGTGCGGAAAGGAATACGCTATCGCTTCAAACATGGCCGTGCGTGGAGAGGACTTATTCGGCGTCGGGATGAAGGAGTTGGCTCGCGCGAAGGGCACGGACGCGACCGCGAAATCAGGGTTAATCACGGACGTGGGCGCGCGGCCGCGTATCGGGCTGATGTTTGATAATTTGTGAACTTACATTGGATATTTTCGTGGGCACTTTCCCAATGATTGGTCGACGAATTGAGGACCAATGGTCGGCGATAGTACGATCCGCGGCTCTTGTGTATTGGTGGCAACCCAACGAACTGCTACTCGAATAGCAGACCGACGCCGAGACCGGTCGATGCCCCTCTGCGTCTCTACGCGATCGGCCAATCGAGCGGCGCGTCTCAACCCCCTCCCTCGGAAGCGCGCAGTTCGAAATTCGCGCGTCCGTTAATTTCGCTTCCAAGAATTGTATTGTATTGTGAAAGAGATAGAGTCGTAATGCGTAGGTTATCCCTTGTAAAATAAATCATCGTAAGGACAAAACAATTTATATAACCTTGGTTAGTGCTAGAAATTTTCGAAAGTTGAAAAATATACAAAGAAAGACCTTCATCTGAGAACCATTATTCATGCTTTAAGGATCTAAAAAGAAAGAATCAAATAAAGTTCACTACATAATTTATGAAGATGAATAAATCTCGTACACTTATAATACAAGCTAGTCATATTCTTATATAGGATTTGATTAAATTTATTGAACAATGACAAAATAGTTTTTTTTTTTTTTGTTTGTATATGCCTATGTATATATATATCGATAAAGAATATTACAGTAACAAATTTTTTTTACAATAAAAATGTGCGAAAAATTCATGCACATCTTATCTTTAAACTTGAAGAGTAAAAGAGAAAAGCACATATCTATTCCATAATTGTGAAGCCATTATGCAGCATTCAAACAATAGTAGTATATATATAGATAACATCTTTTATAATACATCTTACCTATTAAAATCAATCCATTATTTTAGCGTAAGCTAGAATTAATTCGAGCTTAGGTCGATTTATTTCAGAAAAATGTATGTTCTTTTGATGCCATATAATGATGTCAAAATTCCAATCGAATGGGATGAGATTATAAATTAACTGGCGAAACACTTAACGATCACGATAGAAATGGGACAACCAAATCTTCCTTGTGTTCGACTTTTACGTCGCTTAACGCTGTCACAGCCTTGATGAGCATCTCAGTAATCTGTATGTTCAATTCATTGCGTTAAATATGATGCTATTGTAACAGCAAATGCAATAAAAGAAAATAGTTGAAAATCCTCACCAATTCTTGATCTTCAGCAGCGAGTGGATCAGCTGCTAATATTCGTTCTGGAGCAGGTATATCCTTAAGTAGGCAAGATGCAGTTTCAGGAAGTTTAATTCTACCTGATTCTATTCTCCTTGAATATGCACGAGATCTATCCATGTATTCGTGCTGTTCTAGATTATGTGTGTCTAATGCACCCACATCTATGACATTGCTGTAAGAAAAAAAAAGTATAGATCAATAAGATTACTACATTGCAACTTTTTAAATAAAATTTATATTTGATTCTATAAAATACACGGCTCAATATTAACAACATTAACATCAAAAAAAAGGAAAAAAACAGAATATGTAGGAAAAATTGATCAACAAAACAAAAAACAAAACACGATATAAATTAAAAAGTCAGATGTAATAAAATAAAATCCACTCACGCTGCAGTTTCGTGTAAAATTCTATTTAATGCACTCTGTTCATCAGTCTTCTTAGGCACGGAGCTTGCATATTGATTAACATAATCATCACTGGAAGCAAAAAAAATAAGCATGATTCAATCTTACGTAAGAGTTCAAGGTCTCTAAAAACAAAACATCTACGCTGAGATAAATGTAAATAGAAATAAACTCACCTATGTACTCTTGGTATGTTTGTATTATTACTGACAGGATCTACTAGCAAATGCGTTCTTTCGTTCGCTTCTCCACCCTGCAAATAAATGACATTGTGACAAATACTCAAAGGATGTCAAAGAAACTATTTATTTTTCTTTCTCATACTGTTATCGCATCTTTCTGCTTATCTTTATTATCATTATAACAAAATGTTTATATATACGTAATATACATTATGCGTAATTACTCGTCGCCAAGTAGGCGTGTTATTCGCGATAATTTGTGCGAATCACCACGCATATAACGTCAGTGATAAGACAACGAAAGTGAAGTATCGAAATAAGCGTGACATTTTCGACCGCGGCGGTTTTACCTGCGGACCATTGTCCTCTTTACAGAAACTGTAGCAGCACCCCATATTTGAACAGAATGTCTAACTTGATCTTCACCGATCAGCAAAGTACCGTGGAACTGTTATTGCAAACAATCGTTCATTTTTCTTCCGGTAAACAATCGAGTGAATCAGCTGTCGGAGAATCGCCGCGACCGCGCACAGGACTTTATACATGCACACAATTGTAGCTCCATATATGTATATGTAGTGTCATATATGTATAAACCATAGACATAGTATATCTAGACCGAGTGTTGAGGAGCGGGGGCCGATGCCCACGTAGAAAAGGACATACTCTGTTTCGTGCCCCTTGCGTTCTCTCTCGCTCGCACAGAGCATAGCGCTCTCTTTCGTCATGCTATGTGCGAAAGAGAGAGAACGCAAGGGTCACGAAACAGAGTATGTCCTTTTCTACGTGGGCATCGGCCCCAATGTTGTTCTCGGGGACGCTTTCTCGCGCATGCGCGTTAAACATGGCCTTAAGATACGTGTCAAATTTATAAGAAAAAGGGTACTGTTAAGCCCTCTGCTCAGATAATGTTAAGAA